CATATCGCGGGGGAGTGTATTATTTTTTTGTGTTGGCTACACTCCCATGGACCTTAACCCTTTTGCCACCGCTGTATTTCTGTGGGGGAGGGGGGGGTTCTCAAAATTAAACTTCAGGAGTAATTTTTCAGGCCTAAAATGTGCATTTTCACATGTGCACACAAAATTAGCAAAAACTGTTCTGGAATCAATAGAGTTAAACTTGTTTTAATAATACAAGTTCATTAAATGTCAAACGTAAGGCAGCGAAAACAACAAAAACAAACACTTGCAAACAGTCAATTCATAAAATTCCAAGCAACAGTACAGAAGGATTGTACATTTCACAGTGCTAAATCCACTTGGAGCCAATATCGCACATTGGTCTCCAGAACCAGCAAGCTACCTCACTCTAGAGAAAAGGGAGAAGTTTAAAGACATAGAACAGAGAGGAAAAGAAGAAGGACAAAGCGCTCAAAGCAAAGGGAAGGTCAGAGGACTACCAGGGGGTGAGTGCCCAACTGGGGAAAGCAAGACAAGCAAAGAACCTAGGCTACCATCAACCCTCACAGTAGATACGTTCTGAAATGTTCAGAACCTGTGGAAACTGTCTAGACACTCCACGTAGAGGTGTATTGTTCAAATGTATCATGTAGGAGGGCTGTCAGTTCCTTCATGTGTTGCAACTGATTGAGTTCAACAATTCATTCCTTAACAGAGGGAGGGAGAGATGACTCCCAGTGTCTCGGAATCACCACAATACACCTATACAATACACGGAATCACCACCACTACAATACACACTGCTCCTGGGTTCAGTGATCGGAGGAGAGATCAGTCACTAAATATGTGCTGATCTCCATCCGATCCAGCCACAAACACCCACCATGCCGATCCCGAGCCAGCACAGGGGACAGGGGAGCCCGGGATAGCAAGCGTCGGCGAGGCACACTTTCCCAGCACCGTACAAGCTTGTATGTGAACAGCTATTGCCGGCTGCAAAAACTGCTGCAAGTGAGGATGTTTGTTTAACTGGCCAGTCAGGAGGCGGTTTTCAAGGAAAACCAGTCCGCGGTGCTTCCACGGTTTAAGGCCATCTATGCCTACTACTGCTGTGAGTAAATTTTATGGTTTTATTATAAATACAATCTTTTTACTCTTTTGTTTCACTGCTAAGTGCTCCTGTTTTAAATATATATTTCCTGAAAGCAGAAACCTGTAGATTAAAATGGCGGCAATTGCAAATTATTATGTTGCATGATATTAGTGCTACTCTTTATCAAACCCAAAAATTTCAGTAAAAAAATACACTTAGGTTCATTTTAGTGCACAAAAACACAATATAATACCCAATTTTTTTAAATATAAAAGAGGTCGCACACAACATGCCAAGCTTCAAAATTGCGTGCACCCGTGAAACAGCAAGAAACTACGGTACCCCAAATTCTCCATAGGTGATACTTTAAAAGCCTGTATAGGTCATCAATTTAGAGTTAACCGTGAACATTGTCCGAGAAAAATTGCTCTTACTCTGGCATACACAGAGATACTGAATATGTGTGGCGCAATCGTCGTTTTTATAGGTGGGAATTCCTGGCATGTGTTTGCGTTAGTATGTGCGTGCACACTGAGAAGGGGGACTTAAAATATTTGTTTTGGGTGTTTATAAATTTATTTCACTTTTTTTTTTAACTTGGCTTCATTGCTGTCACATGGGGGGGCTCACAACCCCCTATGCAACAGCACTTTAGTAATGACAGGTGCTCTTTATAGAGACATTAGCGGTCTATTGGACCTGTAAAGTCACCTTTGCAGCCCATGATCTGTGCTTGATCAGCTTCTTCCCTAGCCTCTCTAGCCGAAGAATGACAGCTTAGAAACCGGAAGTGATGACATCATTATCGCTTCCTGTTTCATTTAGCAGGGAGGAGAGCGAATGGAAACTTTTACTGACCCCTTGAAGCAATTAGGAGGCTTTAAAGCTGCCCAAATCGCTCCCAGTGTAAAGCCAACAGTTGACTTTACATAGGTAAACAGACTCCAAGTAGCTATAGCTCACAGGGGCCCGCTGCTGCCAATGTATGACATACGTCGTTGGCAGCAAAAAGGTTAACTGAATCCCTTTTCAGAAGGAATAAGGCATTGTTCCAATGAGCTGTAAGGGTACCCAACACATTTCTCCATGTCTATATAAGTAAATAAGTTGCACCTAGCACTCTTACACACTGGGAATAGCCATTTTGTATAAAAGAGCAATTATAGAACCTAAATGAAAGGCATCTGTACAGCATGAAACACATGTTATAGATAGATCCATCTCAAAAAGCTAGCCTTCCCCAGCCACCTCACGCCCCATCCCCGTTCATAGTGGCTGCAGATTGAATCCAGGAGGGGCAGTAGTCAGCAGTAAAGACACTGCACAGTGCCCACTGTCTTCCCATCATACCTAAAGAGGAGTGGCAAATTTCAACAAACTTGACTGTCACACGCTCAGCACTTCCCTCCTGCACATGCTGCCTGCTCTTGTATCCCCTGCACTCCTGTCAGTAACCGGATCTGAACCCAGGGCCTCTGCTGTAGCTGGCAGTGGTTCTACCTTAGAACCTTGGATATCTCCTGTGTAATCATCAATTAAACCTAGTTTCTGCTGAACTCTCAACTCCTTGCTCCTCCCTTGAACTTCCTATTTAAGCCATGCCTCTACACTTCCTGTTTGCCAGATCATTGTGCTCCTGCCAATATCTTGCTTCCTGCTCCTTCTGTGATACAATCTGCTCATACTGCTACCCGTGTACCGACCTTTGGCTGCTGATTCACTGACTACTCTTATCGTCCTCTGCTTCATAACTGATACCTTTGGCTACTGACCTTGGCTTGTTCGCTGACTACACTTCTGCTTTGCTCCTCCACTACTACTGTCTGCTTGTGTACCGAACTCGGCCTGTTATACCACAAATTTGCCTGCTGTTTCAGCTGCTGGACTCTGAGCCGGATCCAAATCGTAATAACTCCTCTCTTAAACAGTTAATTACCATTGTTTGTAATATCCTCAACCTTGCCGCTCTGGAACAGGCACACTTTTGCTAAGAATAATAAGAGAAAATGCATAAATCATTCAAGCTCAAATTTCTATCTTGCTCAGTTCTTACTTGAAAGGGCTTCAAGAAGATCTCATCCATAGCCAGTCGTCCATATTCCGTAAAAAGCTGAAAAATGGTGAGAAAAATAATAAAAATGAACCTTTAGATCTTGAGTTCTTCTAAACCTATTCTTATGCTTTATGTATTATGTAACCCACAGAGGAAATGCTACAGGAAACCACTGTATTCTAAAAGGTATAAGTTTTGCACTCTTGCACTTTATATTTGATTTTTCACATCTGAAAGCACATGTGTAGTAAATCTAAGACACATACACACAGCTTTAACCCCTTCATGACTGAGCTTTTTTCATTTTCCGTTAGTTAATGACTGATGCACTTCTTACATTTATGCTATGTGTTTTTTCCATGGCAGCAATATACTTTTTTACTAAGTGCACCCACATATATTATATATTGTTTTTTAGAGGACAGATAGGGCTATATATTTATATCCCATATGTGTGCCGAATGCCTTACTTAAGATGAATAAAATATTAAAGAAATTAGGAAAAACCATAAAGAAAACACTTTTTCCCCAGTTTTGATTTTTTTTTTTAGAAAAATAGTACAGCTAAAAAAAAGAAATTCTAAATAAATTAATTTATTTGGAAACACCTCACATCCCTAGGCTTTTAGAAATGTTTATGTACTTTTCAGCTTAAAACTAAAAGCTAACATTTTTTTCTCCCTCTAAAAGCTAATAGTGGTTAGGTTAGTGGCATACAATGTCACACTTAGTGACAGCAACATACTTTGAACATCTCCATCATGAGCGATTAAATTAAAAAAATTAACCCCTTAGGGTGAAAAACAAATCTGCAGCTCGGCTGCAGAAGTTAGTGACTGATCCTGAAATGCTGATCCTGCAGCATGTCAGAATCAGATCTTACTAAATATAAAGTGCACTGCGCTGTTTAACAAATAAATAGAAATCCTAAATCAATATAAAATATAAAACAATGAAATATGATATAATCTCCCAATCAATAGTCACTTGAAGTGTAAATATACAAACAATTGAGTGTTTATACAAAAACCAACTCAAATCAAATCTTAATCTGTGATAGATGTGCAAATAATAAATATGTAGAAAACATTTCTAATAATTCATGCATAAGTATATAAAATATATTCACAAAATATTGACAATCTTTCATAAACTTGAGATATTTAATGGTCAGAGGTATGCTGTATGTTTATGTAGTATCTGAGAGCTATATGGATTGTAATCGGAGGGAGACATCTAGTGGCCAAATAGGAATAATGCATATACAATTATTGTTGATGGATGGATATACTGTATATAGGAGATGTACAGTCTTCAGCAAAGCTGACGAAACGCATTAAGGCGGGGCCTGCTGACGTCATTACACATGTGGGACAAAGTGACATGATTTTATTTGCTACACTATGAGTGGTCTGTTGATTTACATGTTGGTGATGGCTCATTAAATGATTGATTGTGGAGCGTGGACGAACACAGGAGTGGAGGAAAGCTGGTAACAGTGGATTACACATGCAGGATTTGATTGTGACGGCTAGGATTCTGCGCTACATGACTCTCTGTTTTCAGAATGTCATTGTGGTCTGGTGAGTGTTCTATGAGAGCACAGTGGGAGAGTCACGTTTGAACACGGCACTCTTCTGAGTATTGTGAGTCGGTGTTGGATCGTTTGATTCACTGAAGGAAGATCACTGAATGTTTGATTATCACTATCGATGGGATGGACACTATCAATAATATGAAGAATATTTTATATACTTATACATAAAATATTAGAATTGTTTTTTACATATTTATTATTTGCACATCTATCACAGATTGATTAAGATTTGATTTGAGATGTTTTTTGTATAAACACTGATATATTTACACATAAAGTGATTATTGATTGTGAGATTATATCATATATAATTGTTTTATATTGATTTAGGATTTCTATTTATTTGTTTGATAGCACAGTGCACTTTATATTTAGGAGTTTGTTTACACTTTTCACAGCAGCTTTTTTGCATATTGAGTTTAGAATATTAACTACATCCACAGCGCGAATTTACATTTATATAGATCTTACTAAAGACCAGTGGCGGAACTACCGCCGGTGCGGGCGCCCGTGGCCTCAGGCTCTGGGGGGGCCCAGAAAAAATCTTGCACCAGGGCCCTTTGTTCCTTAGCTCCGCCACTGCTAAAGACTTCTGATCGTTTCCAGTCTGATACAATTTTTCAACAAAGAAATATTTCGGGAAATGTTTCTATTGCTGAAACATGTAGCAAAAAAGCTGATACGCAGCAGGATTTCCTAGTGGTTAGCGCTTCTGCCTTGCAGCACTAAGGGTCCTTAGTTCGAATCCAGACCAGGTCACTATCTGCAAGGAGTTTGCATGTGCTTGCGTGGGTTTCCTCCGCGTACTCCGGTTTCCTCCCACACACCAAAAACATGCTGGAAGGTAAATTGGCTCCTGTCTAAATTGGCCCTGTAAGTATGCATGTCATATAGGGGACCTTAGATTGTAAGCTCCTTGAGTGCAGGGACTGATGTGAATGTACACTATGTAAAAGCACTGCGTAAATTGTTGGCGCTATATAAATACCTGTAATAAATAAATAAACATTTCCTAATCCCCGTGTGTTCAGCTGCCAAACAGTGATAGTGAGTGCGGTAAATACCACACAGCTAATACTGTGAGATACTGATCGCTACAAGCGATCAGGTATCTGTCAATGATTAATTCTTTCAGTAATGGATCCCTCATTCATTTGACAGCTTCAAATAGCGTATCATGTACAGTATATGTGATCAGTCATTTGGGCACTTTGTGGCGGGGACGTACAGTGAAGTAATTCAGTCAGTAAAATGAATTTGCAAATATAAGCTGCTCTTGCAAAGAAGATAGTGGATATGCATACTGCTCTATTAAAGAGAAATTCGTCAGGAGGAGGAACCACCAAATTTTACTAACTGAACCTAAAAAGAACACACTGTGAATCTCTGTATCAAACAATTTTCAGCCAGAAATATGATACACTCACCTGCAGCTGTTGTAGATCATCCTCTTGTATATTTTGGGATAAATTGTAGATCTGTAATGATGAACAAATAAAACATACTATCAGATAATGTAAAATAATAAATGAGAAAAGGGGAAAACAAAGGTTACCCTTGAATGCAAAAACAAGTGTCAAGTAGATCTGTGAAGTCACTTAGGTCTGCTTTAAAACTGACATTTAGCATTGATGCTTGTATGGCTGTCTTTCCATCAGCAGTCATATTTACACAATAAAAAACTGCTATAGAAAGGTGTAACTTGACATGAAATTGTGTTTGAATGCTGCTACTCCTAAAGAGAGAGATAAAAGCAGTTAATCTCCGTTATCTCAAGCCTAAAAGTTTATCCAAAAGCAAAAGGTAGGTAATGAGAAAGAGTAGGTAATGCAGGGGTAGCCAAACTCCAGCCCTCCAGCTGTGGTGAAACTACAAATCCCATGATGCATCTCTCTCTGGTAGTCATGTCTATGAGAATCTTGCAATGACTCATTGGATTTGTAGTTCCACCACAGCTGGAGGGTCGGTGTTTGGCTAGCCCTGAGGTAATGACTAAAAACCCTTTAAGCTTTTTGTTTTGGCCATCTATCTCACTGGGGAGATTTCCCTTCGCTTTGTGTCTTGTAGATACAACAGAAAGTGAGAGGAGGTCTACCCCTCACCACTCTATCAAAAAAAAAAAAAGTTTTGGCCTCGGATACACTTTAAATGCCCTTATGTAACTTGTCTGCTCCCATGTATCAACATGGTCTCCAGGGGCGTGAACAGTAAACACAACTATCTTTAATTTGGAATCAGCCTAAAAATTGCCACACACAGCCTGCAGAGGCAAGCAGGACACGATTTGAGCATTGCTGATGACAACTTGGCAGGGATTGTTGTGTAGGAGACTGACAATGAGTGCTTCTTTTGAAAATCTCTGTGTAAATGGGACCATTTTTCTGTTTTTTATCTTGGAAACTTCATGCAGTACAGAGTAAAAAAAAAGAAAGACATCTGGATGGTTGGGAAACATAGTTCTAAACACACCAAATGGATAGACATAAACCGTGATCAGCTTACCTGAATGGAGCTTGTCATGGTGCTGAGAGCAAAAATAGTGGCACAATCCTTAACTGTGGACTGACTATCAAATGCTCCCTGGGTGTCCATTATGATAACAGCAACCTGATTATCAGGAGAAAAAACACAAAGGTTAAAGCCCTCAGGAAAACACATTATCCCTAAACCTAAGCAACAAACACGTTTAATGGCAGAATAAGTTATCTTACCTCTTTCCCATCCGGTTTCATCATGGTAAAAACTTCATTCCAGATTTGAATACCAGTGGTATCAGGCTCAGATCCTCCTTTCCAAGAAAATCCTGTGAGAGGTTCATCATCCTCTCCTAGCCAGTTCCTACGACTGCCCTCCTTCTGTAATGGCACACAGTATAAATAAGTATTCACTTGTTAATTGATGCAACTTAACATGCATGGCAAGTAAGAGGTGAAAGCTGGAACAATCAAGAAGTAAAAATAAAAAACGATATAGATTATTATTAAATATTATACACTGAGTGGCCAGATTATTATGACCACCTGACGTTTGTAGGCAAATTAGCAACTTTCCTTTACGAAAAGCACCAGCCACGGATACAACAACTACATCCAGATCTCGAATGTGGTCCTGAAGAAGAACAGAAGCCAAAGCCTCTTCATCCAACTGAAATGAATGATCATCCTTCTTTACTATAACAATCTGGACTGGGCCCGGAGTTGATGGAGCCATAGCTGCGTACACAGAAGAGAGAGCACAATGTCAAAATAGGAAAACAACGGTAGTTTTTTTTAAACAGAATATAAGAGCTTGAAGCAAAATGAGATCCAAAAGAGGCAAAAGACACGCAGATTATGGATTATTTTGTGTAGTAGTAGATCTAGACCAAAGACTTTGCTATTCGGACCTTAGATTACATTGTTCAGTAACTAACATAGGGACAAACAGTCTTAAATAAACAGAAATGTCATCCAACTTAGACAACTAAGCAACAGACGAAATTGACCTGTTAACCCACACAAAAAGTCACTGCTTGACCTATAAGCAGAAACAAAAAAGACCTGTAATAAAATAAAATTACCACAAGAATACGAATACAAGTGATTTAACAAGTAAGACAGCAAAAGTGCCAAGCCCAGGATATTAACAGCACGGGTACACTTTGTGTGCAGAGTGTGGTACTCGGCGCAGGAAATACAGACTGTCTGCAAATCTGACTCATAGCAACATATATTTTTTAATCTACAACTTGGCACGGAGCAGAATGGTGATGTCACAATCAAGAAAAGGAAGCGAGATATCGAAAAAGACCAAGAAAGAAAAAAAAAAAAGGTGTTGGGGATGGAAAAAAAAAACAACAAAAAAACTGTACATTCTCATAGTTTTTTCTCATTCACCCACGCGGGTGAACAAGACAAAATGTTCAATTCCCCCATCCATGCTTTTAAGAGAACCCCCTGCTGCGCTATAATATTCTGAAAGCGGTGGGTGTGCCGCTGTCAAAATACCCCAACAAATGACTGCAGCTGGATGCAGGGGGAGCGGTTAGAACCACAGTCAGGTTTTTATTGCTGTCTACAGTATACTCCAGCTAGGGAGATTCACTCTCAAAAAGTGTCCTGATCAAAGAGAATGAAATTGTGGGTAAGAAATTTTCCAGCGGGGACAACTGTCTAAAGGTGCCCATACACTGTACGATTATCGTACGAGAATCGCGGGAAATCCCATGATCGTACGATAATCGCAAAGTGTATGGAAGGCGTGCAACCGTTTCTACTGTACGGTCGCACGTCTTCCGTGGAACAAGCAGGCTGGAAAACCCGCCGGGAATCGTACGATTCTCGGCGGGTTAGTGGCCTGCTTGTTCGACAACTGCCGAACGTGCCGGTGTGCGCACGCGCCCACTGCCTGTTTGCAGTCATCGGAAGCCCGCCCCTCACTGCAGTCATCGCAAGCCAGTCCCTCAGGCGGGGTGCGGCTTGCGATGATCGCAAGTACGATCTGCCTGTCCAAGATGGGCAGATCGTACAAGCTTTTAATTAGCTTACAACCATCGCAAGACAAAAGTCTTGCGATGGTTATAAGGTGTATGGGCACCTTTAGAGGGGATTTCCCTCAAACTGCAAAGATATCCTCCCACTTCTTGTTGAGTCTGGAGGAGAGGGTGTGAAAGCTTCCGAATGAGATACAGATGGGAATTTAAAAAAAAATCTGACATGTTTTCACCTCCCCTACTTTAATTAAAATATTTTTTTTTAAATGTTTTGGCTTCATAAACTTAATGTGCAAATCTAAAACAACAACAAAATCTATTTAAGCTCATTATTTTACTTCCTACATTAGAAGTATTCAGGTCTACAATAACGATCCATATTGGAATATGACATCTATGTCTGCGTTAGATTTCACATTAGGAAGAACATATACTGTAGCATTAGGCCTCATTCACACGAGAAAAGACCGGCACGTACAGCTCCGTGCTGCGTGCACGGCCGTATCGGGCAACTCCCTCGAAGGACAGGCGCTGCGTGTGATTAGTACGCAACCCCTGTGTGAAGGACAGAGTTTGATCAACCGCAACTGCAGAACATTGATTGGTAACTTGGCCTCTTCCTTGGACCAGCGCCCATGCGCTGACAACTGGCCAGTTACTCCATCCCAGCCAGTAAGGCTGGCATCCGTTGTCACAATTCCCGTTCACGAGAGCAGGGAAACTGAGCCACCAAATCAAGGAGGTTTTGACCGTCCGGCCCACCCGCATTTGTCTGTCCATCGATGAGAGTGAATTGTCCTATTGTTGAAGAATTTCTCTCTGCAAAATCCGAGTATGGTGTTGAGCATATAGAACAGACTCAAAAGGAGGCAAATATTAGACCCAGAACCCTCATACAAGTGCCAATCCTCGCCCATTTGCAAGAAAGCAATGCACTAAATCGTATCCGTAGCCTGCAAATCTTTTCCAGAGGGAGAAAAACCTTGGCATGATATGGGTCCAGGATCAGTCCCAGATACTACAGGCGAAGGGATGAAATCAAGGACGATTTCCAGAGATTCAGAATACAACCGCACTATTCCAGAGTGCGCATGGTGATCTGAAGATTTATCTCCAGGTCCGATTGGGAGTCCGCCCGAAGAAGGAGGTCGTCCAAGTAAAGCATCATAAATATTCCCCGTAGTCTCAAAAATACGAGGACTGGTGCCAAGACTTTGGGGAAAACAGGCCAAACGGAAAGGCTACAAACTGCAAATGGTCCACCAACTCTACGAAGTGTAGGAAACGCTGATGGGTCTGCCAAAATTGGCACATGGAAGGTATGCATCCTTGATGTCTATGGATACTAGAAAATCCCCCTGATGAAAAGAAGATCACCTAGTGGACAGACTCCATTTTGAACATGCAGACCTGGACAAAGGCATTCAGGTCTTTCATATCCAAAATTAGACGAAAACTGTCCTTTTTGGGTACTATGAAATCTTTTTTTTAAATATCCTATGGATTTTTTTTATCGCAGGACTGGGACAATTACTTTGAACCAAGTTCCTTACAGCCAACCGAATCTAAGTTAAGTCAAGATTTGATTGAAAAAAATGAGCTGGAGGCACTGGCGGAACTACCAGGGTCGCAGCGGTCGCACTTGCGACCGGGACCAGGTGTTCCGCCAGTTCGGGGGGGGGCCCAGAGAGAAGGGGAGGCCCGCCGCTCGCAGCTACTCATGCTGCCCGCGGTGCCGACATCTTCACCGCTGCCGCCCGCAGTGTCTTTTGCGGCAGCTGTGAATAGAAGATGTAGCGCTGCGGGGGTGTGGCCTGTCATGGGGTGACGCCTGTCAGGGAACTCCAATTCCCAGTAGGCAATTGAGGAGGGAGCAGCCGAGCAGGCCCGGCAGGATACACGCTGTAGGACGTCCTGGCTTGAGCTGGACCCTGGAGGCACAGAGTGAGGAGATTCTGGAGGAGAGCTGCAGCAGGTCCAGGTAGGCACTGATTGTTCATTGCTGTATATGTGCTGAGTAGTGACAGTGTCTTGCACTGTAATTTTTTTTCCAACCAAAAATAATAAAATCATTTTATTATTTTTGATTGAAAAAAATAAATGACAGTGCAAGACAATGCCACTCTGCACATTGCCTGCTGGGAATTGGAGTTCCCTGACAGGCCTCACACCCCGACAGGCCACACCCCCGCAGCACTACATCTTCTATTCTTCACCGCTGCCGCAAAAGACACTGAACCTGTCACCTCCAAATGCTATCACACATGGGGCTTGTTAGCTCTTGTGTGATAGCAATAAAGTTAAGTGGAAAAAAAAAGATAAATTATCAAATAAATAAAAAATAATAAAAATTAAAAAAGTAAAATATAGTAAAATTAAAAATGTATAAAAGAAAAAAAAAAGTGATAAAAAAGTTTTTTTTTTTAAATTAGAGGTGCACAGAGCCGTCAATCTCTTTTTCTGTATCCCCTGTTATCAATGAACAGGAATACTCTATACTGAGTGTTCCTGTTCAATCATAACATGAGGACATTGAGTATGATTACTATGACCACAATCATGACTGAACAGGAGGTGATGTAGATTACTTCCCATTCATTCATAATTGAGGATATAGTAACCATACTCTGTCCTCAATTATCTACACTCAGTGATCACTGATCAGTGACTGCTTGTACCCCGCTTTAGAATGCCAAAAAGTCTCCTTTCCCCTAAAATTAAGAGGATTGAGAGCAGTAGTGGAATTATCACCAGACTAGCTGACAAAGTTCTTCTGTGGTAGAAGGGAAAGGAGGCTGGCTCATAGACTGTCCCTTTCACGCTATAAATTCAAGAATCCGAGATAGTACACAACATACGAATACAGATGCCCACTCTTAACGCTTGCATACATTACATATATACAAGCTGTGCAGGGCCAATACTACACATAGGGGTATATTTGTAAAGCGCTAAAAAGTAACAATCAAAAATTCACTTAAGGTGAATCAATCACTGTAATTGAAAGCTGAACTGTGGGCAAAAAACTTGAATCCAAATATATACCTCAATCAACACAAAGGATGTATATTTGCTTCATGTGCACCAAATGCCTTTACAAACCCAGATATTTCCTTGGAAAAGTAGAACCCAGTGGAAGCCCATGTGATAGGGTGCACAAGCACAATTAAGAGGCAGGGATAGAGCATTTTCATCCTATAGCAGGAAGGACTTGCATAAGGATGTTCATGGTAGGATTGCCAGGTATCTCTATAGGGAAGCATAACCAGTCTCAGCTTGAACTTTATCACAACTGAACTTTATCAACTCATCTCCACACAGTTATCTTTTTGCATCACTTAGTCCTGCCCTTTTTTATAGTAAGCTCTTAAGATCCGGGCACTCATAACCCTCTTGTCTTGGTTTATATAGTAACTGTATCATCTCCTTTTATATTGTAAAGTCCTGTGCACACTGTTGGCGCTATATAAATCCTGTATAATAATAATTTGAATAAAAGCAGCAGATTTACAAATATTTAAAATGACAAGAACATGTTAACGCTTAGATCACAAAACCCCACCCTATTGTACTGTACAGGTATGGGGATGCTAGTAAGAAATAGTCTTCCTCCAAAAGAGGCAACACAAAAGGGTCCATTTACATTTGTTCTGTGCAAGTTAAAGAGCTGTTGTCAGAATAGAGCAAAAGCGAACGTTCTTAGAGTATTTTCTCTAGTGGTTGAATTGTCTTACAGCAAAC